GGACACTAGTCACCAAGGTATTGCAGTGGTCCTCGTGGTGGCCATGACGTGATTATGGAGTTGTGACCTTTGTGTAAGGTTCACGTGATTCTTGGGTGGCATGTGTTGCCATGTGTGTGATCGGTACCCTCGTGTACTATGAAATCGGTGGTTCTGTTGGAGGGGGAACGACGGTTCCCGGAGGAATAAGGTTGGACTTGGTGTACAGGGGTCCTGGAGGTAAAGGTTGGAACTAGATATAAGGTTGGGGGTAGCCATAAGGTTAGAACCGGGCATAAGGAAGGCATATCAACTCCGGATGGGTGATGTCACGAGGGCTTCTGTAGCCGTTGTTGTGAGTTCTCTTCTTGTGACGTGTGTAGTCACAAAGGCATGTGGTGCCTAGGCATGTGTTGCCATTGGTATTGTGTTTATCCTTTTGAGTTGTTGTTGTCCTTGTGGTCTTGGGATGTGTTCCCGTGTTCTTGTTGAGAGTGCTAAGTCTTGTGTTGACTATTACTCTTGGTTTTGTACTTATATACTTATGTATTCCGTTTCGAAAATGGCTTTACAACTTATATCTTACCTATGTATGTTATTTCACATGTATTGGTGGGTTACCAGCATTATTCGCTGACCGGGCGTCGTCCCATGTTTATTGTGTTCTTTCAGGTGATGTCTAGGCGAGTGCGTGGTCTAGTACTTGCTAGTATAGCTTCTCCCTTTCGTTTGGTGGCCTGTATGCTAGTTTAGATGTAGAACAATGAGACAATGGGTTTAGATTTAAACATTGCAGATGTTGCCTGTGCGTTCATCTCTTTGGTGGACGTGGCATAGCACCTCGTATTCCAGTTTATTCATATACATCTATCTTTCAGTCTTCCGCTGTGATTGTTGTTTGGTTTAGTTATCTGCATGTTTAAGACTTTAAAATAGCATGTTTTTAGGGGGTGTTACACCGGCTCGCGGGCTGGCTGCTAGGAGGTGAGTCGCTGCCACTTTAGGGCGTCCTGTACTGTGTTCGAGAGGTCTCCGGAGATCTTCCTTCCATCAAGTAACGCATTGCGTGTAGATCTGGCTGCCTTGTCTGGCCTCCCGTCTAGGCGGCTGATTTGGGGTATCTATCAGCTCACATTAAGCACAAACTCATGCACATTAAGCACAAAATCCACGCACTTTAAGCACAAATCTCACGCACCTTAAGCACCCAATCCACGCACTTTAACTTTTACCGACTACTCACATTAAGCATAAAGCCACGCACCTTAAGCACAAACTCACGCACATTAAGCACAAAACCCACGCACCTTAAGCACAAATCTCATGCACCTTAAGCACAAAACCCACGCACTTTAAGTTTTAACAACTACTCACATTAAGCACAAAACCCACGCACCTTAAGCACAAACTTACGCACATTAAGCACAAAACTCACGCACCTTAAGCACAAATCTCACGCACCTTAAGCACAAAACGCGCGCACCTTAAATTTGACTTAGATGCAAAAATTACCAAATTGTCACTGCGTTTTTATTTTTTTTTTTAAATTTTGGTAATCCTAGACCTTGATTTAAGCAAGATCAATGACTCAGATTTAACCCCACAACCGCACTTGGGGTTACCAATCGCACCAGAACCCAATTATATATATATACATATATATATATATACATATATATATATACATACATATATATATATATACATACATACATATATATATATATATATATATATATATATATATATATATATATATATATATATATATATATCTAAAAACTAATAAGTGTTAATGAAGGTTATACCTTTATTTATGTCCGTTTTTCCGGTACATTTCTTTTATACATTAAGCTATAAGAGTTGTACTACTATACAATATTTTGGACAAACATACCTTTACTGTTATAACTTTCGTTATCTTTTCCATTATTGTTATCATGCACATGCATCCACCATATATTTTCTTAACTTATTCAATAATAATTATATATACACATTATATTTAGGAGTTATATGTTAATTATTTCCAAAAATATAAATATCAAATTTATAAAAAAAAATTATATTATTATTATTTACAATAATATAAATTTTTAAAATATAAATAAGTATAAAATTTTAATATAAACTATTAATATTGGGAACCTATTTTTTGATCATCGCGCATAGAAAATACTAGCGTATATTGTTGGAAAAATAGCATTAAAATAGCATTTTAAGTGGCTATTTTGTGGTATAATTATCAGTGGGGTCCACTTTCGATTTGGGTCAAGTCAAAGTGGATTTGGATTCTTCGTAGTGAGACGAAGAGATTGATATATTGTACGCTCAAAACGGATAATGGGTGAATGAGATATTGATTCTCAAAGTAGACCCATTGAGTTGGAAAAATGAAGGGAAAAATGAGCTTTGTCATATATTGGTTTGGAAAGAAGATTTGACCCCCATTTTATACAAGAGCTCATTTGGAGCTTGTAGAATTGTATAGCATAGAGGCTTTCGCGCGTGCGCGCGTGCGCGCGGGGGGGGGGGGGGGGGGGGGGGGGGTGCTAATCAAATTCCAACTAAAAACGAGATCAAACAGGCTTGATTCAAGCCCGAGCTCATGTGCGCCGGCACCTGCGGGCACGAATGTCGTCTGAAAATTGGCTGGCCTTGCGGGCTAAGTTATGCCAACTTTCGGTATCATTTTTCCAACAAACACACTAGCCGCTTGGGTTCGAGGGCATGCTATTAAGTACTCCTCCCCTATATAAGAAGGGGTAGAGGGCAGAAGTCTTTTAACGACACAGTGTACAAGCACACAACAAGAAATATACTTTTTCAGCTTAAAAATCCTTTTGTTTCTACTCCTTTCTTTAGCCTAACTGTGTTCAAGGCTTTGCTTTAGTTCGCCGGGTTCGTTCGTTTGGGTGCTCAAACTTCGAACCGTAGCGCGTTTTATCCTGGGAAACCTAGGCCACGACGCTCCTAGCACTGTTGTGAGGTGGCAAATAAGGTTTTAAGGAAAGAGTGGTCTATTGACTCACGCTAAAAAGGTGGCAAATAAGGTTTCGGTCTTGGATTATGCTTCTAAGAAAAAATCCTCTCTTTTTGATATAGTTTGGTTGGAATTATAATCTGTGGATTATAAGTTCCATTTGGTTAATATGTATGTATCTTTTCCGTAGATATTCATGCATATAACCATGGTGATCTTATATATATATATATATATATATATATATATATATATATATATATATATATATATATAGGGTTGCATTCACATGCAAATACCCTTAAAATACAAACGTGTGGACAGTTTTAGGCCATTGGATTAGAGCAAACGGATGGATTAGATGAAGAGGAATTTAGGAATTAAGGAAGTTGGGTCTGATTAAAAAAGGGTAATTATGGGAATATAATCACAATCTAATTATGGATTATATTTTTAATGGATATTTCACCGGATTAGAGGAAGTATAATTATGGTAGGACTTGACTATGCAATTGGTATCGGATAACGCTTGCAGAGATGTAAACCGGAAATTGTTTGGCGGTGAGAAGAGAAGGAAGCCAATTCTGCGCACAGGGAGAAGCATCACTTAGGTAATGAATACGGCCAGTTGATCACCATTATGGGACGACGTAGGTGTGAATTTGTATGCAATTTGTTTACTGCATGCGCTTTTGATATTTTGATGGTGGGGGTATGCATTGTGAGTAGAAAGGGGACTTTAGAAGCCATAGTTGATCGGAACTGGTGGTGGTTTAAGGGAATCTACAGAATCATAGAGTAATATCCGTGCACACACAAATTGTTGTATGTTCACCATTGTGTGCCTATGTTAGTCTATGTGCGCAACTGGGATATAATGTGTGCACGTGTTTGTGTGTGTGTGTTTTTTTTTTGTCTTGTTTTTTTTTTTTTTTTTTTTTTTTTTTTTGCCGTAATTGACGTCTAAACATTTAATGTTATCGTTACAGGCGAGGTGCAATCTGGAGCAGGACTACATGAATGTGTCATGAACGTATACCCAAACGGAACAAAATAGTGGTGCCTTACTAGTGACGAGAAAAATATACCATATGTTGGCAACGATTTGAAGTAGAACAAGGAATTGAATTCTACCGGGCATATGCTACCATGGTTGGCTTTGATGTCAGAAGCAACACGATGCATAAAACTAGAGAAGTAGAAGTAGTGATTAAATACATGGTATGCTCATGTGAAGGTTATAAGCCAAAGTAAAAAGGAATATAACATCAACACCAATATAGCATAAAGCACACACAATTGTTTGGACAAATTAGTATTCGTTTAGTATAGTTCTGTTATCATTATTTTTGAAGACATGTTTTTTTTTTTTTTTTTTTTTTTTTTTTTTTTTTTGCAATCATTGCGTTCAAAACTATTTACAGTGAACCTAATTGAGATGTTTGAATATAAATTACATTATGATTATGATTAGATGGAATGTGTGCATTTAGATTATTTTTTTTTTTAAAAAGCAGGTTCTGGTGCATAATAGTAATGGTAATTAATGGATTGCAGACATGTATGAAGGCGTATACAGATTGGAATGAAAGCGTGTATAGGTGCACATAGAAAGCAGTGCGTGTGCACACAGTGGTAATGGGGAAATAGGTTTGAGCATGGGTGGGTTTACGTGGGTGCATGCCTCAGTTTTGGAAGGGTAATTAAATTATGGCAAAATTGTTAAGCGTATTGTGCACACTAGCTAACACATGAACACACAGATGTGCATAGTTAAATTAACCTGTGTGCATGCAGCATAAAATCCACCTACTCACACACACAATAGCAAAGTTGCGTGCAGAGGTCTCCAAACTAAAGGCAACAACTAAATATCGTTACAACTAGGTGCAAACTGTGTAGAATATTAACTTCAAAAACAAACATAAACCAATTTTAAATGTGCCAACTGTGAGGCAACAAAACCATAATACACACTGGATAGCCATCAAAATATTTCCAAGGGACAGACTAATATACTGTAGGTATATACAAAGTGTAAAAATACCAAAAACCCTACAGAAGACCCACATGGCAAAAAACTTAAGATTAATGTTTAAACAATCACAAGTCTAGCTAATCATATCCTAAACAGTGGGAAGTGCACCCATAAATGGAAAGCGGAGGGCCCAAAATATGTTGGTATGCCCAAGCTAAATTCGTTGATCTGTACGCATTGTATTTAGAGACCACAATATCCTTCATCTATTGAAGCCTTAATTTGTGAAGCTTACTAGTGTCTCCTTTGGTTAACCCACAATCCCATTTTGACACGACTTGCCCAACATAAGTCTCCATGTGACGCATGAGATACACGCCACAATTGATCTTATTCTTCGAATCTTGTTAGGACATTTTCATCCAAACTTGCACATATTGCTGACTTGGGTGGGTGGCTGGTTTTGTAAAATTCAGCAAGCATACACAACTTTGGGAGGCACCAGGTTCATGCTGCGAACCCTTGGACCTCTTACCTGCAACAACCACATAACACAAGAAATCACCAACTTTCCCCCCAATAATAAAACAGAACAACACCCAAATACATAATGGTACATTAAAATACTGAGGTGCACACACTCTCCAGCACATTCACGCGCATACCTATGAGATAAACCAGATATGACTGCACAAAAATAATACAATCATATCATTGCACAGAGCAACGCATCAAATCAAGTGCTCTTAGCATCCATTCTGCCTACGCCAAGCACAAACGAATCTGTCGTGCACACACACCAGAACAATCACGCACACGTATTGGATATACCCGTTTTGAGTGCACAAAAAGAACACAAAAATTACACACACCGATTCATACAACATAACACTTTAGCATCCAATTTGATAACACCATGCACACAAGTAAACGATAATATGCATATATACAACCACACCCGCTATCACTGATCACGCTAACCCACCTACTACATCAACTCCAAAACCACAACATATAAAACCAAGCATTACCAGAACTACCATAGAAACTAATGCAAGTCAGAAAGTAGACCGACTAAAGAGTTTATTATTTAATGGTTTTATTTGCGGTTTGCAGCTACGATTCTGTGTTTCTGAGCACATTTGAAGCAATAGATATCATGTCTTCGTAAGAAACAAATCAATTAATGATATATATTAGCCGTTGCTCTAGGAGTTTCAAAGTATCCTAACTGAAATCTCATGTTTCTATATGCATTTCATCACTAGTTGTTTTACACTTTGACTGTCTTTTGTGATTACTACACAGTCTTATGCAAAAACCTTTTCAAAACCAACTGGGTACACAGTCTTATGCAAGAACATTTTAAAAAAATAAAGCATCCTCCATCTACAAACCAACTGGGAAACAAACCAAAACATTTTTAAAAAAAAAATTTTAAAAAAATAAACAACATACATCAATAGAAAAATTCAAAACACTAACTAGTGAACTAACCTTTTTTGTATACAAAAACAACAGAACTCTAAACTTTGAACTTAAAAAGAAAAATGTAAAACCCTTTTTATAAGCAAAGAATTTACTAACCCCAAAAGCATATTACACATAAGTTTTAATCACAAAAGAAATTAATGTTTCAGAGTTTTCTTGTAGCGAGAGACCAAGATAATTAGTCAATTTTCAGTCAATAATCTAACAAAGGTCACAATTACAGAGCCATGTTTGTCCGATAACAGCCTGTACCCACGACAAAGAGACGACCGAGGCAACGAGCTAATTAAACACCAAACCACTAAACTGCATAGAATACCCAATTAATGCACAACCAATCCGTACCATCCCCTCCCCTCCCCCTCCCCCCCCACCCAAAAAAAAGATTCTCTCTAGAAAAAAAAAAACGAAAAACAAAAACAGCCACCGCCGCAAAATTGAGTTGCTGGTAGCCGCCGAAACGGACAGAAAACAAGTAAACAACAGATAAAATGAGTGAGGAAACATCTAACACCCCTAGCCCTCGATGGCATATTACATACAAGACCGGCGATTTGGAAACAAAAACAACAAGAACACAAAAATGACAAAAAGGGGGAAAAAAAACCCTACCTCGATCGATACGTGCATCCGGTGGTCCCCGCCGCTTTCCTCCATCGTGGTCCCCAGCCAGCACCATCTTCATTGTTGGAGAGCTGCAAGAAGGAATGGAGAGCTTCGCTTTTGGATGAGAGTGGAGAGACGCGCAATGGAGATCGCGAGATGGGATAGGGACTGACGACTTTACGCGAGTGGAATTATTGAGAGAGAGAAATAACCTTAAAACCCCCAAATTCCCCGAGCAAAAATAAAAACAATAAAAACACTCAAACACGCGAGACTTAATTAAATTAAATTCCAAAACCCATAACAACAAATCCTAACCGCAGATAGCCAAAATTGAACGATCTAGATGCATCCACACGTTTGTATTTTAAGACATGTTTTTACCTGAATATAATCCTATATATATATATATATATATATATATATATATATATATATATATATATTTTTTTTTTTTGGATATATATCAAATAATATTTTATATACTAGTGTGTGTATATATAAATATTATTTTGCGATATTAAATCGATTTTGGTTCATTATCACCAACAATCTTAAAACCTTATATTTTTGATAATGAAAAAATCGATGGATTCCAAAAGTGTTGGATCCGTGAATGTTGCTCGTGGTGCACATTCTAATGGTCAGAACGGCAACGATGTCGCACATTCCGTGATGCCAGTTGATGGCAGCAATGTTGGAAATGTTGTCTCCATGGGAGTTGCAAAGACACACGATAGTGCTCCGGAGAACTTTGGTTCACGATCCAGTAGACTAGTGGCTAATGGCACGCAATTGGTACCTATTGTGTTGCCTAGTGGATCGTGTTGGTCCCGATAGGGTGGTGAAAGTCTAGAGGGGGGGGGGGGGGGTGAATAGACTTTCAAGGTTTTTCAAAATAAATAACTCTTTGGTAACTTCAACTCTAAGTAACAAGTAAATAGAGTAAGTTTGAACTGCACAGCGGAATAATAGTATGTAAAGAGTTATGCCCAACCAATAATTTAAATGTGCATGTAAGATGGGTACAGATGATATGTAAAGTGACAGAGATATTTAAAGGAGATGGTTTACTCAATATGTAACAATAATATTCAAGATTGTAAATAAATATCGTGTCACGTCGACCGTGTAACGAACGTTACATGCAACACGTCAAACTTGCTTAGAATGATTCAATATTTAAGCTTGAGAAGTTTGAGTCAAATGCATACGTGAAAACACACTAAACCCGGATGATTAAGATTAACTGTGAATAGTAAACGGGTTAGTCGGATAAGATAGATAGATAGAGCAGATTATGTAAGTGCGGTATGTAAATGAGAGAGGCAATTTATAGTGGTTCGGAAGTGGCGTAATTTTCCTAGTCCACTTTACTCCATTCACTTCTAGGAGTAATTCACTATTTTCCACACACAGTTACAATAGTGAATAAGCGCTACACAAGCACTTCTTCCGGATGTCTTGCACACAGCTACACCCAACTCCGAGTGTCTCGCACACAGCTACACTCAACTCCGAGTATTTCGCACACAGCTATACTCAACGCCAACTAAGTGTCTTGCACACAGCTACACTTAGCAACTACGAGTGTTTTTCACACAGCTACACTCACTAGAGTATTTTGCACACAGCTATACTCTTTTTACAATTACAAATACAAAGGTAATTGTATCTCTCTCCAACTAGTTTTGAGACTATTCAGACTAAGTCTCTAATGAATATGTGAGCACTTGCACTTTTCGAATTTTGCACTTGTTTATCCGTGTGTATTCACCTCTATCTCTTGTCTTCAAGCCTTCATGGCTTTTTATAGGCAATCAAATATATCCGTTGGAGTGGGATAATTTGATATTTGAAATTTGAACCTTCATAGCCTGATATTGTTGACAATAGTAGATCTTCAATTTTGATTTGATTGTCAACTTGCCTGACAAAATAATATTTTATCTCAACTTGATTTTCAAGTTGTTTCTTAAAATATTATTTTTGTTGCCAATTTGAATATCCAACGAATCTTTGATATAAATTCATCTGATAGAATTTATTTCTAGGATAAGTTTTTATATTCATGTCTTCATAAATATTTTTCCGTTCTGATCAAATATCTTCATGTAATTTTGGATTCTTGTGGCATGTGGGCTGATCCAAAATAAATTCCTTCGAATTTATACATTTTCTGAACATCTTGCTTCTTTGCCACATTGTGCTCCTTTGACTTGTACACTTCTTACTAGTTTGACTTGAACATTGTGCTTTTCTGATTTGGTCACATCGTGCTCCTTTGGAAACATCGTGCTTGTTCACATTGTGAACCTTTAGAACATTGTGCTCCTTTCAGACATTGTGCTTGACCGCATCGTGCTCCTTTCAGACATTGTGCTCCTTTGGCAACATTGTGCTTGTCTGAATTCTTGACTTGTAAAAAATAAGTCCTTGAGGGGGGGAGGGGGGGAATCGATCTCGAGTATGATCATTTTGAGTTAGGACTTTTACCATTTCGCCATTAGGCTTATCCAGTCATTTCTTGCAACGCCATTTCTTTATGCTTCTTTCTCGGATGAATACTTGTAGGACCAAAATTAATTTCCCAAATTAATTTTGTTCTTTCTATGGTAGATTCCTTTTGACTCGATATTCTGATTTATGATGCTTATACTAAAAGACCTTAAAACTAAGGGGATCTAAAGTACATTTGGCTCATCAAAACTTACAAAAATATTCATATCAATTTTCCCCCTTTTTGATGACGCCAAAACCTATACTCAGTCATTTGGCTTGTCTTTTAAAAACAATTATTTTTCAAACGATTTTATTAATTTTTGACATAGCCCCGACGAGTTTAACAATTGATTTTGACTCTAGGAAAGGTATTTTTAGCAACTATGTTCCTATTCGCATTTTTGGACTTAATGATAACGAAATTTTGTAATTTTCCAATTTATGCGATTTGATACAATCTAAGCTAAAAATTATTACCTTTCAAGACAAATAAAATATCAATAGAAAAAAGGAAAACTTAATAGCATCATAAACAGATAATTCGAATCATTGCAAATTGTTCCATGATCATGAGTTCAAGTTCGTGGACCATACAAACAAAATGTGACAAACATACAAATCAATTGATGATTCTGTTTCTCCTTTCTTCAAGCACAAGATTTATATGATTTTGAACTTCAATGAAATTGTCACTAATGGCATAATTGGTGCATACCTGCCCAATCACATAATAGTTGAAAGCTTCAATGATGTTGTCCCCGGGCAGTATTCCTTCTTCATACCATATGATGCACTCTTCTAGACTTCTATCACTTTGAAGCTCGACATCATTGACTTTGATATAGTTTTAAGAACCATGATCATCAAAGCTCTAGCATAGCTTTTGATCCTCCTGAAGTTCTCATTCGAAACCCACAAGTTTTGGTCACTTGGACTACTTTTCTTCATTCCCTTTGGTAGGTCATTCAAAGTTGCCAATCTTGGCATTTCAACTCTACCATCTCTTGGTGTGGATTCCAAATAGAGAGCTGCTTTGTTGTACCAATTGATTTGTTCTTGATTTCCACCTGCACGCACAATTTCACGAAATGAACGGTTAGTGTTATTTGTGCTGCTTGATCCACCTTGACTGCCAGCCTCTCCACCACCGAACCAATACTCCAAACCTCCGCTTCTAGCAATATTTCTGCCAGCAGATCTGCCTCCTCCTCCTCTACTACTGCTTGTACCAACATTTCTGGTAGCCATGGCAGTCATAATCATTTCAAGCATGCCTTCCAAATGACTGAATCTCTCTTCCCCCTTTTTGGCGTAATCAATGAGTGTATAAACTGACTCACAAAGAGATGAAACAGATTCGGATATGTTTTCATATGAACCTCGAAGGCATCCCACTTTGGTATTGATGGAGATGAGATCTGTGTGAACATCACTAATCTGCTTCTCATGTTGATGAACCACATTGAGAATCCCTTGACTTTGATTCACGGCAATTGCTTCATTTGCTTTTCCAGCATTTTTGAGGATTTGAGACAGTTGGATGTAGAACTCATTGAGTTGCCCTTTGACATTTGTATTCAATCCACCAACTTGTCTCTCAAGTGCTTGATGTGTGTCAATCAAGTGTTGTTGACTCCTTCGGTTTTCATCAAATGATGTTTCGAATTTTCCTCCTTGAGTATTGACAACATTATCCACATGAGTGTAGATACCTTGAATCATACTCTCCATTCGGTCAACAAGGCTTAGTATAACATTTTCCAGATTTTCAGTCTTTCATTTGAGGTTGTGCCATCAATGTTTTGATCTTCTTGGGTTGCGGGAATACACCTTGCTCTTTCTTGAGCAGAATTATCTCCAAGCATGTGAGATTGTGCTTGATTTTCTAGTAAATTCCCTTCTCTTTCTGGCGTGTGTAACACGTGTGTGTCACCTTGCATACTTTCTACATGAATTGATTGAATTTCCTCCGTATGGTGGCTGACTTGCATGGCATGATGTTCTTGGCTAATTTCTGTTTGATTCAACACACTAACATCATATAGACCACTGTCTATCAAATGTACACCATGTGTGACATTCTCCTCTTCTTCGTTTCTTGTAACCTCAATAGGTTGAACAAACTCATCAATGTCAACTAAAAAATCATCTTCAGTTGGCATGTTTCCTTGGACTGTGTTGTCATGAAAAGTCTCGGCCAACTTGGCTTTTAATTTACTCACAAATGCTCCATTTACGGTAGAAATCAATGTTGTATGGCCAACATCAAAACTGCCAATCCAATTCAAAGAAAATGTTTCTTCTTCTTGCATACTCGGTCCTCTTGTCATCAACTCTTGATAAGAACCAAGTCTCCAATTTCTCCAATCAAGAACTCTATGATATTCATTCACCAATGTCAAATCAAGTCCATCAACTTGATATATTTCCTCATTCATCACTATCTCCATTTCGGCTATTCAGGAAAAAGGGTTCAAGTTACTTTGGCTTGTGTTGGGATTAAAGTTTGATGTGGGATTGTGACTCATGGTGAGATTTTGGCTTGTGGTAGGATTTTGGCTTGAGTTAGGATTTTGGCTTGAATTTGGTTCGTGACTAGGGTTAGGATTTTCAAGAGGTTGGGGTGTGGGTTGAGGGTTTAAACTAAGGATTTCTGCTACTGGCCTTTTTCTAGTTGGAATTCCTCTCGGTTTTCT